TTAGTATTTTATTAATTGCAATGGACCAGTCCAAAATCCATCTGTTCTCAATGGACCAGTCAATTTGCCAACCCTGGATAGAACAATTATTAAAATTATAGCAATAATAATAACCTTCCATAAGATGGTCTACAGATAAATCACCAAAACATAAGATTGAATCATGCAATTCATCACCATAATGATATAATGCTTGTTGGGATTTTTGGATCCTACTTAATATTGAATTATTTATCTGATTTTCATCAATTTTGAAAATGAAGCATTTATCTGATTCAATAAAATACCCATCATTTGAAGACTCTCCTTCTTTATTCCAACCAACAGGATTGTATCCACCTATCAATTCACCTGTTTTATTGATTTTTAAAATTGTTACAGTTTCTTTAATATCATAACATTTATCTTTAAAGACAGACTTAGTGAATCCATCTTGAGTTCCCTGAAGAATTAATTCAAATTTGTAAGGTGTATTATTTTCTCTATATAGATCAGGGTTGGCAAATTGACTGGTCCATTGAGAACTGATGGACTTTGAGCTGGTCCATTGCCATTAATAAAATACTAAATATAGTTAAAATGTTACACTAATGGACCCAATGGACCATAAATGGACCACCAATGGACCACACATTCACCAACCCTGATATAGATCATTCTTGCAATCAATCCAACTTGAAATTAGGGATTTGGTTTGTGAATTTAATAATTGACCTGTTCTTGATCTTGGACCTTTTTGAAGTATAAATCTTGGTTGGAATCTACCAGTAACATGATATTGTAAAAGTTCTTCATATATTTCTTTATAAGGTTTGATTTTATCATAAAAGTCAATAGAGGAAATTTCGTAAAATCTTACTAGCAGAATAATGTCATCTAATCCATTTTTTAGCATGATAAAATCCTCCTTCATCCATTCTGAAACTTCTTTATTTAATTTTTCATTTTGATTTTTTCCCCATTGAATGACAATATCCCAAATATCTATTTCCATTAATTCTAAGTCATCTCTTTCTAACAAAGTAATAAGCATAGTCTTTCAATATGTTTGAAATCCTTAGATTTAAAAAATAATCCTGGATTGTTACTAATTATTTCACTACAATAATCTTGAAGCAAGTTGAACAATTGATGATATGATGCAATTTTATGAACATAAATTAAATTCTGTTGAAGTCATTCTTCTTTTTCATTAGTCATGTAATTTTGTAAGTCATCGATCAATTCATCAAAATTTAATTCATCACATGCTTCAAGAAGTTCAAAAATTTCATTTTCATACAGATTATCTATATCAAGAACCCCATTGTAAATATATCTATAAAAAAAAAATTTATTATAATCATTCAATTTATTAATTAGTCAACTAATTAAAAATAATAAAAAATTATAAAAGTTATATAATCTTACATTAAAAGAACCTCAAATACATTTGGTGAAATATTTTCTTTTTCAAATAAAATAACACCATCATCAGATTTTTTCATCCACTTATTTGATAAAGCAGTCTTAAAATATGAAGACCTTGCTTTTAAGATGTTAGAATGAGCTTTAAAAATTTTGACAGTCTCATCTACTCCAACTTTAATTTCAACATCATAACAATCTGATTCATTCAATAACTTTGTTAAATCATTCACAAGTTTATTAATGTATTTAGGTTTATTCGACCTTTGAAGAATTTTTTTTAAAAAAAATACCATTTATTAATAAGAAACCAGAGTGACGAGTGATGGTGATAACCACCATTCTTTTTAAATAAACTAGAGTGATGACAAGTGGTGGCAATAACCACCACCACCATTCTTACAATAAACAACACTTACCTGTATGATTCTTTTGTTTGTTCAATGTGTATTCTTTTGTTTTTTTGATTTTGTTGTGACATATTTTTTTTTTTAAAAATAAAAAGTTTATTTGATCGACCTAATTATTTATATGGAAACCCTGTTTTTTTTTTGTGACGCGATTGGTTTTTTTTTTTTTTTTGGAAAAACAATTTATTTTTTGACAGATGACAAAACGCGAGTGATGTTATTCAATATATATTACTGTAGGGTGTTGGAAATATGAATTGCTATGTTGGATCTTATAGTTTTTTTACTTGGCCTTCAGTATTGCATGTAACCGGAATTACTAATGCACTGCGATCACGTGAAATCACGGGTGCATTTAAGCCGTGTAATGCAGGACATAGGGGTGTGCATTTATCTCCAAGTCCCGAGTTTAGGTTGACTGTGTACCTTACATGGTTAATTGAGTGATTATTACGAAAATTGAAATAAAGGAAATCAGAATTGGCATTAGTGTTGAGTTTCGATTTGTACCACCGAAATCATTTTTTAAATTACAATTATAACGTGCAGTGACAAAATACTTTATATCTTTCTTTATAAGAATGAATACAATGTAAAGAAACCAATTTATCAAAAGATAATTAAAATATAAAAGTAAAGTAAAATATAAATAAATAAATAAATAATGAATAAAATAAATATAAATAATAAATAGAATCCAAATATATAAAATAAATAATTATAAAAAATTTATTATATTATTTAATCACCATAGATACTTATATTTAAACTTTGAAGTTTCTTAATTGATTTTTCATGACCTTTCAAAGCAGCCTTTTTATAATAAATTATTGCCTGTTTTTGATTTCTTGGTAAATTTAATTTCCCTTCGTAATAAATATCGCCCATGTTATACAAAGCAACTTGATTTTCATGGAAGGCAGCCTTTTCCATATATTTCATAAATTCTGAAGCCTTTAAAGGATCACCAACCTTATTTAATATAGAGAATGCATAGCGAACTTGAGCATCAGAAATATCTTGGTCTGCAGCTTCTTTGAAACATTTAGATGCCTCTTCTGGATCTTTATCAATTCCACCATATCCTTCCAGCAAATAATAACCTTTCCAATATATTGCTCTAGGATCTTTCAATACCTCAGCATGATATTTGAAACATTCCCATGCCAATTTTCTTGAGGTATCATTTTTATCCTTGTGAAGTTTTATACCATCTTCTAATGTCATTGTTACTTTTGGAGCATCATCTAAAGTCAATGTATCTAATGAAAGATCATCATCATCACGTAAAAGAGTAATTTCTTTGCCAATACTACTGCTACTATAACTATTAACTCTAGGTTTAGGAAGAATGTGTGGTGAATAATAATAATTTCTGTATAAGGTAGCTAATTGAGTAAGAAAAGTAGGCATATTTGGTCGTAATGAAGGTTCTTGATTCCAAGCTATTTAAAAAGAAAAATTATATTAAATATATATCTGCTATGTGTGAAATTAGAAACCTGCATGTTTGAATTTGTCACAGCAGTAAAAATTTTAAAGAAAAAAATGTGATACTATTTGGCTGTGATAACAATCCATTGGTGGTCCATTGGATCCATTAGTGCAACTTTTGGTATTTTATTAATGGCAATGGACCAGACCAAAACTCATTGGTCACAATGGATTTGGCCTATTGACAACCTTGTATTGGACTACAACATTATAGTTTCAAGTTGATCTTTATAAATATTCATTCATTTACCTTTTACTATTATGCTTTTGAAACATTTTTGAATATCATCAAAATGACTAAGTTTCCTTACACTTTCTCTTCCACCTTCCAAGATATAATGAGTAATTTTTACACCATCATTATCAAGCATATGAAAATATGGAACTTGTTGAAATGATAGTTCCCAGACAAACATACCAAAACTAAACAAATTTGAGTAATTAGTTAAACTAATAATTTAATCAAAATTAATATATAGATATATATATTCCTTTACCTGAATATTTCACATTTTAAAGTGTACCTGACTCCATCAGGATCTCTGAGTTTCTCAGGGGCCATCCAGGGTATAAGTTCATTTATAGCTTTAATTCGTATACTTTTATTATGATATTCTCTACTTAGAGAAAAATTTGCAATTTTTGCTTTTCCAATATTGTCCATAATCTTTTTAATTTTAAAAAATTTTTTTTTCAAGATTAATATTAACAATATATATATTGTTGTATGTTAAACAAATTAAAAATAAAAATAAAAATAAAAATAAAAATAGAAATTAATTACTCACTAAAATGTTTTCACATCTAACATCATGGTGAAAAATTGTACATTCATGTAGAAAAGCAAGCCCAGCACAAACATCATGAACAATTTTTAGTTTTTGTTGCCAAGTAATATCATATTTTTCATAAAAAGATTTTAAATTTCCATATTCAGCCCATTCAAATACCAGTACCCTAAATCCATCAGCATATGATGTGCCAAGAAATTTTACAATACTGTTTGATGAAAACAATTTACCTAAAATTGCTAAACGAGTACGAAAGTCTTCTTCTTTATATTCTTCATCTGTAAATGGCTTACATGCTACTGGTTCATAACCTTTCAATAATTTTTTAAAAACTTTTCCACGTTTTACTACTTGCTCTGGATCTGGATCTCTTAAGTCATGTTGACCAATTGATTTAATTTCAAGTGATTTAATTTCAATTGGTTGTTTATGACTATTACTCATTGATGCAAGTGTATCTATCATTAATTTCATATCACTTGATTGATTATTCAAACTGGCTTCAATTGTTTCTAAAGCCTATTAATATTAAAATAACAATAATAGTGGAGATAATGATAATTGATAATAAAAGTGACAATTAGAATTAAATTCATATAATAAATAATAAATTAAATAAATGTTTATTTATTTATTTATCTATATTTTACCAAAGACATTTTCTCAAATTCAGTTTCCATTGTATTTTGTAAATCATGAATTTCTTTAAATTCATCAAGACTTATTCCTAGTTTTAAATCAGCAATAGCTTCATCATACCTTTTTACAAGTTGATTAACTTTCCCTTTATGAGAACTTGATTTAATATATTTCATTGCTCCACTCAATTTAGAAACCTCATCAATAAATCTTTTGATTTCAGTTGCCGCATTTACGTAACTTTGAAGGCTGTTATAGAAATTACTACTTTTAAATTTTTCTTCTTTGTCCTTTTCATCCCTGTGCCTATATAAATCAGACAAAGCACGCGATCCTATCTCTAATCTGTCTGCTAAGATCAAACATATTTTTTTGGTATAACGTGCATCTTCAGCTGTTTTATAAGCGTCTCTTGCAAGCTTTGCTGTTATGTCAACTAATGGCAAACAAAGTCCAAATATATCCATTAATTTTTTTATTATAAAAGTTTTGTTTTTCAATGGAAAATTTTTTCTAAATGATAATTTGGTTTTGTAACATAATAAATAAATTTCGGGGGTCATAATAATAAAGTAGGGTAGCTTTGGAACTGGTGAAACTCAATTTTTTATGGGAACAAATACAGGGAATTCAACGAAAAATCAACGATAATAAAGAAGGCATCCTCAAGGAGATCAAGAACGTGATTTAACACGTCAAGAAATCATTTAGATGCGAAAAAGAAAAGGGTCTTTTACTAGAGAAGACAAGCTTATTTACAAAAAAATATGTATTAGGGAATATGGAACAGATTACGGTTGATATTTTGTGGTAGATTAGAGATAAGGAAAAAGAGGATCAAAGCAGTGTATTGATTTAATGATCAGAGAAACTATAATAGCTAGAATGCTTGTATATCGAGGGAACATTTAGTATATTGTTTGCAATATTGGCTTTTTTTCTCTTGGTTCCACTATCTTCCATATTGATAAACACTCTCTAGGTGAGCCAGTATCAGAAATATGAACAAAACGAATGCACATTGATGATTCTGAACGTCTTAGCAAAGCACTCAGCATACCATTTGATCAAGTCCCCCATTTGAAAAGTTGAAGAATTTCCTTAAAAAGTCACTCGTTGAATCTGTCAGAAAAAATTATGTTCAAATGTGCAATATCAATTAGATGGTAAAAAATGAAATAGAAAATATTTGGATGGTAACTTTGTCACAACTCCCTCAACTTATTTTGCTGGCTGAAGTTGCTTTAGAATTGTCACTGAATGAAATGAGATAGATCAAGCTTTAGTTATTGACAAACTTATCAAAGATCTGTTAGCAATTTTAAGTGAAAAATATGAGATTGTTATGGTTATGGCCCGAAATTTGTCAGACCACAGAAAAGAAGCTTCATCCAGACTTCTTGATACTTAAGGGAGAAGAGAAAAGAAAAGCCATGTTGAAGATTTTTAGACTGATATATCCAACCCAAGAAAAAAGCTTGATATGTCTTATCTTCAAGAAAATGATATGCATATTAGAGAGAGATATTTTTGTTTACGATTACATAAAACATTCTATCAGACAAATATATGAAGTCATGATTATCTGAGTATGTATGGATTATTTTTGTTTATGATAAAGAATACTCGAGTAAATTCTATTTGAACAGCTTATTGTTTTGGGAAGTCCTCAAAATGCACTATTAAAAGAACACCCAGGAAATTGGTTTGATGTCAATTTGTGGAGGTCCCTTAGAGACCCCGTCATCGGAAATGTACCAGGGTTTGAAAATATAAGGTATATCACCTGTCTTCTCGTAATCATTATTTCACATCTGAGATCAGAACGTGCAGTAAATAATCACCAAAGCGTAAAAACTTGTTTCGAAAATTAAATGAAAGAAAATATTTAAAAAAGTTCTTAAAAATATGTTTATGAAGTTATCAAAAAGATTGACAATACCCGCCACCCTGTAGGTTATCTGATATTGTAAATAAATTACAAATACATGGAGGTTTACATCTGAGTAAAGTGATTGATTCATTATTATTATGATTACATACTTTTGGGTTATATATTTTATTATTAATTATCTATTTATTCAACCAACAAATAGTAAGAATGTATTCTCCTTGTAGGCACATTATGATCATTAGGAAAAAGTTACAGAATCCATAGAAGAGATCAATAAGCTTTTATTGTTTAATATTTAGGAAACGGTAGTATCTTTGACTTGCCTATTAATATAGAAAGTTAAGGTTCATTTTTCTTATAATGTCTAGCTGATTGTAAAGGAGTTGAATGACATAATTCTTGGAAAATGAATTCCTGGAAGATATTCAAGCTATTCATTCGAATGAGCATATAGCCAAGAGAGCCTTTGCTGGAACGTTTACTATGCCAGTTGAAAATAATTTGTTTGTTTAGTTAACCATTTTCACACGCATGCTTATTTTATTTTTCTCATAACAACATATTACTATTACTATTATTGTTATCACTTGATTTTGGCGATTTGGTATATATAAAAAATAATTACTACTTGTGATTGATCTACATAGCCAGGTTCTCTGTTTAATATTAAGTAAATAATTTGTGAACTTGCTTGTAAATATTTTCTTTGTTGTAAGACGCAATTAGCTAGCTTAGAGTTAATTACACTCAGAAAAGCAAATAATAATAATAATACAGTCGACGCTGGATATAGTGAACCTATTATATAGTGAATCGTACTATATAATGAAGTTAGAAAATTTACCATTTCATTATAGATATATTGCTCTTGATATAATGAATTTTAATATAAACTCTCTATATAAGTATATAATGAAGTTTGTCTTGTTACAATCATAATAAATAAAGCTCCATATCATTGAAAATATAATAGTAACATTTATAATAATAATTACACAGTTGCACACCTGTCTATTTGCATCTGTTCATTTGCATAAAGGTAGCTCAGTCCCATATCGGGACTTATGAACTATTTGCATAACGTAAACGTGCGTATGCATCATGTTTCTACTAACGTAAATATGCATATTCATACTATAAAAGGAAAGATCAACGACAATAATTTTATTTTTTATTCTTTAATATTGCTTTGCTTCATAGACAGAATAAAATCTTTTTCGCATGTTCAAGTTCGGGATATTTCATATTACGAGATTTTTTCTGTTTCATTACTTAAAAATTCGGATAAATACTTTAATGTTCTTGAAATTGTTGCTTGATCAATTTTTACTCCAGATTCTTGTTCACAACGATTAATCAATTCTTTTTGGGATCATTTTGCTTTTTTAAACAAATTTGATGACGTTGTTCGTTGTTTAATGTAGCTTTCTTCATTATGGATATAAAGGATAATAAAATAAAATAATAATGTTTGTGTAAAATCGAGTAAAAATCAAAAATTATTTTAATGAATCATGATAACCATATGCGCTGATTTTGTTTGAACCTCAAAATCCAGTACGGTATGATCATAACGTTATGAATACTTTATACTAGCAAAAACCCATTGGTTTTGAGGTGGGGCCATTGGTTTGACGGGTTGATGAATAGTAAATTAGTTTTTTTAGCGGAACAGATAAATTTTTTTAGGGTAATTATCATTCTTGTTTAACATCAAGACACAGTAAGACATAAGGTTTGAAAAAAGGCCCAGAAAACCAAATCGGCTGATATGCGCGAATATGCATACTCTGTCTATTTGCATAAAAATTCATTACTTTATTCCTTATATTTTTTATTTCATTTCTTATTTTATTTTTATTCGTATTAGCATCACGGTTAGAATGTTACGTCGCAATTAAAGTGCAATATCGCAGTTAGAATGCTAGATTGCAATGAAGTTGCTACCAATTAATTTAATTGTATATAAGAAGCTCAAATTCGATATACTTGTAGATTAAGTATTAAAATCTTTAGGTACAGTGATTTCTTATATTAAAAATCCACCTCAAAATCTTGTTTTTGAATTAAAACACATCAATTAAATCAATACAATCAAAAATCAAATAGGTAGACATGAAATTAATTCCAGAAAACAAGCTACATTAGAAAAATGGTTTAAATGATTATTATATATATATATATATATCCGATCTATTATTTTTTTCATAAATATATTAATATATTTTAACCAATAAAATTTTAGCTTAATTTCACATGACATTTTGACGATCTTTTTATATAATGAACCCATACTAGTGAATTTTTTCAAAAAACAAATGCTTCATTATATCCAGCGCCGACTGCAATAAGGAATCAATTGGTGGTTTAGTATTATATAGTCGTAGGACATTGCAGATTTACAGGGGTCAAATATCATGACATGCTGCAACAAAACCAGACAAAGTGAGCATTTGTTAAAAATTTTCAATATCACAATTGGACTACTGATTTTACCATTCCTTGCAATTACATTTCATTTAATCCCACGCTTACTTTTTTTTGGAGTTATTAGCAAAACCAATAAAACCAAATTAATTAAAAGTGAAGGCATTAAAAATCAATAATAATACTTGTCCAGAAAGAATTTTTTTGCTCGAGTGGTGTCCGCATTAGATAGAAATTAAACATCAAAATTTTTATTTGATATTCCTGTAATAAAAATACTATCATATACTATTAACTATTGATTACTTTTTTTAATTTTTAATTTTTCATAAGAAAAAGTGGATCGATACGATCAGAAATAATTGTTACGCAACGATTAAATTGATTATTATTATTATTATTATCATTATTACAATCTTTCGAATGACAAAATTATTTTCTGATAATTCTGTGCAGACTAATCAATAATTCTCCAAGAATGCATTTTAAAATTAGAAATATACCGTTCATGTGTTTCTTTTCTTATATAATTGTATGTAAATATTATTATTGTTTTAAATCATAAATTAAATTATATTTTAGAAAAGAATATGATTAAAGATGTTATATGTATCATGGATAATTTAATATCAACGATATGTAAAAATAACTTCATGACCTTTACATAATGAAAAAAAACTAGATGATTCTAATGGTAATTAAAATATTTAACTATTGTTATTTATTATAATATATATATAAAGAAAAAGAAAATAAATATTTTCAAGAAGTGTTGGTGTATTATTATATTCAATTTAACGAATTTAATTAATTGTTATCGATCATTTGGGATAAGTTAAATATTAACAAAATATATTTACGTTAAAAGTTTTATTAGGCAAGTTATAACGTTGAGAATAATAATAATGATTTTTATTTTTTTTACATTCCATATCATCATCACAACTCCCTCCATGTCGTCATTGTTATCAACATTTTCTCTTTCGTCTTTCATCCTATTTTCCTCATCGTCATCACTGCTTTTGCTACTCCTTCTCATCATTATCATAATAATGATGATGATGATTACTTGTTTGCTGTTGCTACTATTATTATTGCTATCGTGATAATAATTACGATTTTGTTGCTGCTGTTGTTGCTGTGACGCAGGACGTTCCTCAAATTTTTATTATTATTGTTATTTTAGATTCACGCCGATCACATGGCTTAATTCACATATGGACTGAATGAAATATAATTTGTGGTCCATCAAACATCTTTGTACTTCAAAATAAAAAATACGAGTACAGGGACATTCAGTATGGTATAACTCTTGCAAAACGTATGGTATGGTATTGTATAAGTGTAATAAAATGGTTGTATAC